GGTTATATAGTTTGTAGTATTAATTCATGAAAAGAACCGCTGATGATCATGCTACTTTTAATTAAACCGGTGAACTCGATACTGCAAAAAGTGCAGCCTTTATCTATTCAGGTTCATCAACCGTTCTTCGAGCGTACATTGTTGCTGTCAGTACTTTAACGGATCGAGCCCAAGCTTATTCAGCGATCGCTGTTGCCAATATGATATCGGTTGTTATCGGACCAGGTAAGATCCACTCTATGCATATAATTCACTAAGTCTACTTCACATCAGGAGGTGGAGGGAGGGTGGCACTTAAGTTCGAAAATAACGTAGGATCCGTTTTTCGTGGCATGTTCCCATGTGAGAGAACTTTCATTCTGTCTAGCACTGGGAAAGGCATGGTTACAACTATTTTCAAACAGCAATATCTCACCAAAGGGCGCAGTTGCGCCACATTCAAATGAAGCACGCAGCCACGCCCTCTCCACCCACTGGAAATGGAATGCGTGTCCGTTTGAGTGTTTGTCACAAAATAATGCGGGTGGCAACAACAATGAAACATTGCTCCTGACGGTGATATAGCGCGGGTGCGGAGACATTCAGCGGTGGGGGAAAGAAGAGGTATAAGGAAGGGCGGAGGGTCACTAAAGTCATAACGCACGTCGCGGCAATAGCAGGAAGTGGCTCCAAGGAATGGTACAGAAGGTGGGACGGCAACTCTGAGGATGGGGAGGGGGCGTGGGTAATATTCCGTCGATCGTCTCTCGACCCCACCTGCGCTATCGTAAAGGTGCAAACTTTGCGTCGATACCAAATTCCCACAACGAACTTGTGGTGAATGGAGAGGTAGAGAACAACCGGATGTGAGAGCACGCAGGCAAGTAGCGTGTTTGGCTATGGTTAAGCTTCTGGGTGGCGTTGCGGCAGCGCGGGCGGAGCACCCGGGCATCACTATGTACAGGTTCCGTTATTCTGCACTATTGAAAGGAGAAAGCGGCAAGCTACTGCATATGTGGACTCATCATGGCAACGACCAGGGTCCACGGAAGTGGGTTTAAAGTTTCTCTCAGATTAATGAGAATATTAGACTTTGCGGAATAGAGTTGCAAATCTTTGGTTTTAGAATATGGATAACCATCATTAAAGGATAAAGGATAAAGTCTTCGCCGTTGATCAATCCCTTTGTGGGATGCGGCACGCATTCTACTTCCATTCAGAATCGTAGTGGCTTATTGAATGCGATGTGGCCTATACAATGACTTGCGGGGGCCAGCCGATGTACAAGTCAGTGTTTTATCCTCCCAGACGAATCTGGTACCAATTCACCGTCCCCGGGGGATAGAAGGCTTGGTCCTGGGCGGGAGCCCATCCAGGATTCGATCCACAAACCGTGCGCGTGGTAAGTGTGCCACTTCCCACTGCTCCATTTCATAACCATCATTAGCTGAAGGAAATCCAGAGAGGCATTCAACGAATGAGAATCAAGGAGCTAATTTTAGCCTTGTTGTAACTATTGACTCTTTCTATATTTACAGTATGTCAAGACTTTCTATATTTACAGTATGTCAACTGGCGTTCGCAAATTTGCCGTATCCGGGATATGAGATCATCGAGAACTTCCTGAAATTCCACATCTACTCGGCTCCTATTTGGATTGCGTCAGCCTACGAACTTTGTTTCCGTAGCGATTATTTGGTTCGGACTACGCGACGTCCATTCGAATGCAAAGCGAGACGGTTAGTTTGACGGTTTTAATTGACTGGCTTCAGCATGCATAAAATTACCATAGGTTAATGATGATGTCATTCCCGTCTCCCAGAAAAAAAACAGATTATGCTGCAATTCCATAAATGAAAGGCTGAGAGGAGGGGATATGAAATGGACCCTAGGAACATTTGATGTTTCTAGGTTAAATGCCAAGGTGTACTGCATTACCACCTGCCCCTGCGATCTATATTGACGAATTTCCATTAAAAAACAATTATGAGAAAAGTCCTTTCTATATGCGTGGCAAAAAAGTCTGACAAATTCAAAACCGGACTTCATCTCGACCTGCAAACAAGTTACTAACAATAAATCAAAGTGGTTGAGGTATTTTTGCAGCCGACTCCAAGAATTACGATGGATAACGAGTCCCTCTCTCGGAAAACTCTCTTTCGTATCCATTTTAGGTTTGTGGAGCAGATTCCAGGCATTTGGGTACATTATGGGGTTAGAGGCACATTTCACTACAGGATGGTGGAAAGTCATGTGAATAAACTGCTTTGATTTGCATTTTGCAGACTTTCCTGCTTGAAGGCGCATTCCGCGATTACAGGGTTTGGAGATCTTTTCGTAGTCTTGACTGCATGCACAGAGGTTGCCGTTCCACAGGCAGCGACAAGGGAGCTGGGACCGGTATTCGGCTAAGAGACGTCACCTCTGCGACTGCAATACTTGGGATATCCTTGTTACATAAGTATGAGGCCGTGTCTGACATCTCGCCCGTCGTCCCTGCTCTCGTCTTTGTTTCTGGCTCTCTCTCTCTCCCGTCTCCGGCGCTCTCACATCTGACCGATGTTTACTATGTTCCGATAGAGCTGAATTTGGATTGGGTTCCAGACAATTCTGTTCGCTCTTTTGCTCACTAGTGAGTAAGTGAGCATTCATGAAATCATGTTTCCATCCCACCACCCGGATCGGACCTGCACAATGTGATTTTAAAAGTGCGTCACCGGGGCGCTAGGGGTATGACGTAGATCTGTCAAGCCTCTTATACGCTCGTGGACCAAAAGAGGCTTATGGTCACGAAGAGTAATGATTCCACCGATGAAAATGGTGAAGTAAGGGAGCTGGTATCTGTGTCGACGAGCTGGTCGTAGTCGTTGGACGTAATATGACATCAGCAGACGGGACCTCATCAAAAAACCCCCAGTATTGTTCTTCATCTTCTAAATTTAGCTGTGACGCATCGAAAGGGTCGAGGACTTCCAGCACCTGGGGAGCGACCTAGCAGCTGATGGCAGCGTGGACCAGGCGGTGAGGCCCGAATCAACGCAGCCTGGATGAAATGGAGGGAGTCCACTGGCATCCTGTGCGACCGGCGGTGCTCGAGAACGCTCAAGGGCAAGGTGTACCGGGCGGTGGTAAGGCCTACAATGCTCTACGGCAGTGAGTGCTGGCCCATCTGCAAAAACCATGAAAGGCAGCTCCACTCAGCTGAAATGAGTATGCTTAAATGGGCCTGCTGTTGGACTCGACTCGACAGAGTCAGAAACGAGGACGTCAGGGCGGTCACCCAGTCGGCTCCGATCCAGCTGAAGGCACGCGAGCAGATGGTATGGGCACGTACTGAGGAGCCCTGAAGACCACCCAATAAGGAAGGCATGGAATTCGAAGTAGAGGGCAAGCGACCACGAGGAGCCCCAAAGAAAAGATGGAGGGACGTCATCAAGAAGGACCTCACTGAAGTGAAAGCCACGGCAGAAGATGCAGTGGATCGGAACAAGTGGCGACGTCTAACAAGAACAGCGGACCCTGCGACGGCGCGGGACTAACGCTAGGGAGAAGAAGATTAAGGCTTTGTTTCAGGACTAGGTTTTTGTCTTCTTGCTTGTTAGCGAGCCATTTGGGACACTCATTTTGGTCTCTGAAAGCATGACCTACACTTGGGACTAGGATATTGTGGAATGTACCTTTTGCCTTGCAGTAGACCGTAGCCTGAATGCATGGAATATGGTGTCGTTCGGTTTAGGTACGATTTTTGCACTCCAGTCAAGTGTTAACGAGTCTCATGCTACTGCGTAGCTTCACAGTAAGATGCAACTCTTACCAAACGTCAGCAGTGATCGATGGGAACCTGCTGAATGCCTACATCACGCCAAACAGTGCCTATGAACTCTTCATTCTGGCGTGTGTTTGAGCACCGACGGCGCGGTTACTGGGCTAAAACTTTTGTGCGTTCGGAAAATTCTCAAGACAGAAACAAAGACTCGGGAACGGACTTCACTCTCGTTATTTGTGCGTAGCCAGGCCTACCGTTGTGTCTTCCTTAGAGGTGCGCATCTCTTCACCTTCCGAAGGAACGGTGCACCAGGAGGAGCACAATGGTAGGTTTGGCTCCGCCAGTACGACGAGAATGGAATGTGCCTCTGAAGTGATGGTACGCGATGGTCTACGGAAGTGTACAAAAATTGCATGTGAGAGGTAGTTTTGTTCGCAATGTACAACCTCCTACCAGCGCTGCGGTGGAAGGCTGCAAATTGAAGGCGCAAATTTGATCCACTGGCGCTTTTTTCCAGTGTATTCGCCTACGGACCCCATCTTCAAGTCCGTCTTCCAGCGAAAAACGCTGCTACCGGACAATTAACATGAAATGGAGATTTCCTTGTCGCTTGTAGGGTCGTAGTGTTCATTATAGGTAGTCAGCACTAAATTGGTCGAAGCAGCGGTCTTCTCGCCTTATACTGGTGCAATTGCTCGGGGCTGAGGGGGTCTTTTTAGAGAAGTTTCAATCTTCCGTTTCTTCTTCACTGACGTGTCTGGCTGGCGGCCTTGCTTTCACGTTTTAACACTACTATCTCCACTTACTCATTGACCATGGCTCTATGAAAACCTCCACCCCCTGCGTGGAGTTTTTGGACATGTGCAAGATGTAAGTCAACGGACACGGGAAAAAAAGACATTTCAGATGACGACGAGTTGTTTACTTTGGAAGGAATAAAGAAGCGCATCAAAATTGTGATTTCGCTGAAGTTAGCTTGGACCCTTATTGTGCTCTGTTGGATCGAGCGCGTAATCGCCAACATTTCCACTGTTACGCTAAGCTCGTGAGTTTGATATCATTCATTTTAGTTCTATCAGCTACATGAATGCCTGGAAGGGTCTTAATGTGATATTTCAGGATCATGTCACCTCTGGTAATGATCTCATTTGGATGGGATGGTCAGTTGACCGTCAAAATTCTGGCAGTATGCATGGGTCTCGTTGGAGTACTGGCCCTTGGCGTCGCTGCAGCGTTCTTCTTCTGCCGAAATCTGTAGGTTAACAACAACCCTTCATTGTTACCGTGTCTCTTTGCAGTATCGGTGTACAAAATGGTACCAGTTTCGTTTTTTTTATGCCAACGCAACAGAGCAATTTGTTGCAAACGGAATTTTTGTCCAAACTAATCCACGATTGGCTAGAGACTCGAACTGTTCATTGAACAATAGATTTATTCTAGGCCAATCGTTTAATGTGGAGAACTCGCTCAGGGACAACAAATTTGTAGTTTGTGAGGTTGGATGAGTGTAGAATCTGAAGCTAATCTAGGAAAGCTGGGTATGGTGCTGCGGATTACTTTCTCTGTGGAATACTTACTTTACATCTAGTGGGCGAACTACTATTTCCAAAATGAATTTGTACACACACTACGGAGTTTTATACATAGACGTAGGCAGAATCCGCAGGCCTTCGAGAGTACTGGCACCTTTCAGCCCAGTACGCCGTCGAAGATGCTGAAAAATTGTAAAAAAAGATGCAGGAGGAAGATCGCACCCCTCGTAGCTCCATAGGTATTAACAGGACATTAAGGCAGGGTTCATACTTTGCCAGTGTTCATCAGCCTTTCAAACGTGCGTCAGTGTCAGCGATTTGAAGTACTGAAATCGACATAGCGAACGTCAGCGTCTACTAACGTCTACCAGCGACCAGGAGTAGAGAGTATGGGGAAGTAGGAGGGTAGGTGACTGCTAGCATAGTATGGGGAAGTAATAGGGAGCAGACAGCTGCATCAGGCGTTGCGAAACTGAGAGGTGCTCAACCGTACCGTACTTCTACGCAATACTGTGCTCTTGGCACTGATGGACGCTGGTGGTCGCTGATGGACTATGGAAGACGCTAGATCGACGTCCGTACTCTCCTTGTCCCTAAGGACGCTGATGGTCCTTGGTAGACACTGGTGGACGCTGATAGACGCTGGTAGAACGATTGAAAGCCTTTGTATAAGTCAGGCACTGACTGAATTGCTGGAACTTGAGCATTTGTCATAGCCCGATATCCAATGTGAGGAAGTCGTAATCCTACAACTTTGTTTCAGCATCTCGCCGAGAGTGGCCTTCTTAGTAGCGGTCATGATTTCGGTGGTCATGTATCTGCTCTCGTATCCCTATGCAATGACCAGCCATCCTGTGCATCCATACAACGGTAAGTCTACCTTTTCATTTAGGTCTAGTCACTCGCGTTTTGTCTTTGAGAATACCAAGATAAGATGATGGGGCGTGCAGGGCACCTATTCGAGCAAAAAGTGGCTGCCTTTCCTAGCAGTAGTTGAACCGTGCATGCCGAACCGGCATTTATTGGCAGAAAACGCTGCTACGGCTGAACACACATCCACGCTGCTAGCAGAAGTAGGGGGGATGGCAAAAAAAGTCACTTCGACCGAGTCACAAACTTTTGGCAGCCCAGACAGAGGCGTGGATACGAGTACCAGGGCGGAAGATACCCAAGATGTTCCTCGATAAGCAGGAGCTGGCTCTCGCCCATCACCTTCATGTACACCAAAATATGAAGTCATCTCCAGTCGCAGCCTGACTGGAGAAGACCTTTGGAATTCATGTCACCTCCAAACAGCTGCGAAACTTCTAGTATGGAGTCACCCATGGATAGCTACCTGGAGACCAGTACTCTCGATCTGGAAGACCTCCAACATCGAGCAGCTCCGACAACGTCGCCACGGTCTAGGACATCATCTTCACCACAGTCGCCAAGGCGCGGGTTGATGGGGACCGGACGTACCTGGAATGGAAAGACCAATATTTTCTTCGTGGACCCCGGACTGAAGGTGCTGGCGGTTACATCGAGCAACTCGAGAAGAATATCCTCCCACATGTCGTCGCCCGTACCTTCTTGGAAACTTTGTACTGCTACAGCATTGGGTGCCACCACATGGAATCGAAGGGCGTTGGAGAAACTCTCGCCTACTTGGAATGGAAGGGCGTTGAGTACCTAAAAGGATGGAATATCCAAGCAGGTCACCTGACTAAACCTGCTCAATTACCTGGTTCGGGCGGAGTTCAATAGGGTGGTCTACGGTGGCGGAGAAATCGACTATCTCGCTGATCTCAGGCACCACATCGCGGTCGCGTGCCAGAATCTCTCGATGGCGCTCGTCCAGAAGGCTGTGGCGGAGTGTCATGATAGTATTTAATATGCTCTTTAATATGGTGGTAAAAATGTCCGATCAGAATTCAATAAAGTGTAACTTATAGCGCCTCGAAAGTCATGTAGGAAAAGTGACTTTTTTGTCCCCTGTACAGTCTGTCCCCGAAGATGTCCGCGCGCAGGATGGCGGCTGTGGCTCGGAGCGCAGCAAGAGTAGATATTCACCAATCCTAGCAGACTCACGGTGATACCACTGCCGGAACAAGGCCGCCCTGGCTAGGCTCCCAACCGCCCCGCGTCAAAAACCTCAATCGGTTGCATGCATGCATCCCTTGTGTAACCAATGAACAATAAAATATAGGTGACAAGGTCACAGTCAGTCATGGAGGCGTTCGGGAGGGCAGAACGAGCCCACCTACGGCTGCTTCGTTCTACCAATGATGATCGCTTGGTGATCGATTTAGGAAGATACCACTGATGGAAACGCCGTGGGTGAGCGCAGTCAATCCATCTTGAAACCACGTCCCCACGTTTGACTGATTGCCACGTTATCAGCTGTAGGGCACCGCTAATTACTAGAGCTTTTGTGGTTGTCTATAATTGGATTTGAACCATACCCCATCAGAGAAGCGTTGCGTTTTTATGAAAAAATTTGTTTGTGAGCAAAAAAGCCCTTCATTTCAGAGACTGTTGGAACTGGCTGCGATCCGAAACAGTACACATGGTGTGATACAGCTTACGCCACATGGCCAGGAGTTTTTCTGCCGATCATATGTATTGTGATGGGTGTAGGTGTTCCCACAGCGCAAATCTCGCTCGACACAATCTACTCAAAAATTCTTGGCAACATCGATCAGGTAAGTGACGGAGATAGATTTTACTGATGTTTCTTATACTGGGATTGCGCCACTTCTTACAAAAGGAGCGAGATGGTCTTTTCTCTGTTCTCAAACCAGATGGGCACAATGCTTAGTAATGAGAGAGGCTAACGTGCAAAATGGGACCTGCAGCGGTGCCGTATTACACTCATGGGCCATAATGGCATCAAGTCAATGCTCAAAACGTTGGTTGTCAGGCGCTACACTCGCACTCAATATTATATCACAGCTCTTTCCTCAGGAAGTAATAAGTTCCCCATAAATTTTACTCAAGACCTTTCGCCAATCAGTGAATGTGGTTTCATTGGTGAGAGAAAATTATATGGGGCGCTATATGGACGCAGCCTAGAGATTTTGCAGTCTAGCTGAGGGTTACCTCCTAGGGTCTTAGGCATATGGCCACTAATCCTTCCTGTTGGCCGACACGTAGCTTGAAGTACATATTAAGTTGGAATGAATGTTTGCAATGTTTCACAGAACCCCGCGCTCAACGCTCTGGAGCCCTTAAGGCTACATTTATTCCACATGTACCCACAGTCTTCCGGTTACCGGGAAAGTTATTATCGATGGATATCCCATAAGCAGTGCCAATCCGAGTGATATTAGTTCAAATTTTGCTTCACCGTGAACAATAGAAGACCTGCTGCCTGCCTTCCAGCATGTTCTTGATGCTGCGATGCGTAAAAAGTTTGGAAATGTCACGAGGTGGTTCCAAACTATCATGCATCAGCCTGCCGTAAAGGATGTGGTAAAGGACGTACATCTCTGCGACAAAGTGTCACAGTTTAACCAAGCAAAATTCAACGAGATCTCGTCTAAACACCAGCCACATGCTAAACATGGTTCGAAGAAAGAGGAGAAGAAGAAGGATCATCCGAAGCCAGCCCCGAAGGCGAAGGAACCAGAAGCTGACGACGGTGCTGAAGACGGCGCCATTATCGAGAAAGCGAAGGACCCATTCGCAGAAATGCCAAAGGGAACATTCGTGATGGATTCTTTCAAACGGGTGTATTCAAACGAGGACACTGCAACGAAAGCGATCCCTTACTTCTGGGATAACTTTGACGCCGAAGCGAATTCCATCTGGTTCTGTGAATACAAGTACCCGACGGAGCTCACACTTACCTTCATGAGCTGTAATCTCATTTCTGGTATGTTCCAACGGCTGGAGAAGCTCAAAAGAACGCTTTTGCCTCGATGATCCTTTTCGGAACTAACAATAGAAGAGTTTCGTGGCAAGCATAGTTGGTGGTAACGAACTAGGGTGCCCAGTGCAAGCAAAGCATGTAAGCTTGACTTGATTACTTAAGCAGAAAATCTGTCTGCAGTGGCAAAACAAGATTTACATGGAAAAAAAAGAACCAACCGTGTTGCTGACAGGGCTGTAAAGGGACACTACTGGATTACTGTACAGTAGTGTGGACTAACATAGTCTTTTATGACCGACTTCAAAACATGGAGCATGTCACATGTTAACTTCGCTAACAAAGTCTTCTTACTCTACTACAGCCGGCAGCTATTTCGGCTGGGATCGTTCACTACTCGGTATCCTTCGGATTCCGACCACAAAACTTGGGCAAGGGTTCTGCGTGTCACTTCCTAGCGACCTCTGAAATTACACTCACACTTTTGTAGCTTCTTATCTGTTCTGTTGTGACCTCATGACTGACGGCTGAATGACTATGATTTGATTTTCCATTAACAGTCCTGTCAATCTGGACCTGACGGCGGCAAAATTTTTGCACTTCTTTCATCAAAATATGGTTTTGCCGCGGCTGTAATCGAAGTCGGGTCTATTGTTACCTCATACATATGCTTACACTCTT